CAGGGCCAGGGCGACGCAGACAGGGGCGATGACCGCAGCGCTGTCACACCGCAGCACCGAGACCGGCACGTCCCTCACCAGCCTGCCCTGGTAGCCAGGCGGGGAGTAACACGTGTAGCCCTGGGGCCAGCCCTGGCCAAGGTGTCCCATGCCCGCCAGCACCTGGAGTGCCCCGGCCCCGGAGCACGAGCAGTTGTAAGGGTTGCCGGCTGCAGCCAGGTCCTGCAGGTGCCCCAGGAGCTTCACCTCATCCCATGGCAGCTCGTTAATGGAGTTGTTGTTTAGGTGGAGAGTGTCCAACTTGGGGCAGTTCCTGATGGAGGGGACAGCCTGCAGCAGGTTTTGGCTCAAGAAGAGCTTCTTCAGAGAACTGAGGGAGACATCTACAGCATGGAGGTGGTTGCAGCTCATGTCCAGCACTTCTAGGCTGGGAGGCAAAGGGGTGAGAACTCCTTCCAAGCCAGCGTCGGACAAGTTAAAAATTTGGAGGGACGCTGGCCACTGGCAGGAGGAGGACGAGTCTGCCCTGAGCTTGTTCTGGCTGAGATCCAGATGCCGGAGCTCCCGCAGCAGCCGCATGCTCTGGCACACGCTGTGGTAGGACACCAGGCTGTTGTGCTGCAGGCTCAGCGTCTGGAGCCGAGGGAAAGCCCCCTCGCAGAAGGCCGGTGCCAAGCTCTCGTCCCCGAGGCTGTTTTGTGCCAGGTCCAGGGAGCGCAGAGCTCCAAACACCCTCCCGATGGCACAGGGCAGGCTGGTGACGCGGGAGGCGGTGACAGCCAGCTCCTGCACGGTCTCCAGCCAGCTGCTCAGACTAGAGAAGTCCTTCTCGCGGCCTGTCAGCGGGGCAGAGGTCACGTTGTGGAAGTGCAGGGACAATACGGGCAAATCCTGGCCGGCCATTTCACCCCAGCTGCCTCTTCCCTTGAAAACACAGCTCTCAAACACCAGCTCCTGCACCTGGGTGTAGGAGAAGAATCTCAGGACTCGGGCGAGGAGTATCTCAGGCACCAGCAGATCACCAAAAATTATTTTCCTGACGAGAAGGGAGCCCAGCATGTCAGTGGTGGAGGAGTCGAGGTTGCTGATGGGGAAGGCTATGTATCTCTCCAGTTCTCCACCCCGAAACTCCACGACAGAGGCCGCAAGGCACTGGATGATGCTGCCCACGCTCTCCTCGGACAGGTTGTAGCACACACAGTGCTCCTGAGTGCGATTGAAGAAACATCTACCTTCAGCATCCACCAGCCCCAGCCCCAGGAGGAGGAGAACAGCCACGGTCATGGCAAACAACCTAGAAATGAGGAGAGCAACGGTGAAAGGCAGCAGCACTCCTGTGGCAGCTGAGGGGACTGTCCAGATCCAGATCCAGATCCAGATCCAGATCCAGATCCAGCCAACTTCCAGGGCTGGCTTGGGCAGGTTCAGCCCTCAGGGCCATGGCACTGACCTCATCCCTCCTGCCCAACTGCCTTGGTGTGGTCAGCACACCCCGTCAGCACCCGCCTGGCTCCTCAGCCGTGACTCACGGCAAAGCTCAAACCACCAGCGGAACATCCGAGAGCTACTCCTGTGCCATCGTTTCTTGGCAGGGAGCTGGTGGCACTGGTCTCACCCCACCCTGGAGCAGGGTTTCAGCAGGGCAGGGTGGCTCCTCCTGACACAGTACCCGCGGGCTCCGCTCTTTTCTGCCCAACCTGCCTTGCTGCAGATTCCTCTTCCTAAGTGACCAGAAAATCCCATGGATCAGGAAAAACTGGAACCATGGAGCCAGGGACAGTGAGTTGATACCTTGCTCTGAGCGCAGGATGGGAGAGCCACAGCTCTGCTTGTTTCTCTGTGGTGTGCTCAGTAATCTGGGGCAGGAAATTGCAACAGAGAACTTCACATTTTCCTTCTCACTCAGCAGTTTGATTCACTACCAGCCTCCAAGGGGATGGTGGAAAAGAACTTTTGAGGGTCTCTACGTGTCCCCGCCAGCACTGAGCACCGCTCTGCTGTCCAGCTGCCAGGACAGTCTTACCAACAGATCGCAAAAAGCAACAAGCCAAGATTAAAAGCTCCTAAGAACGTGCTGACTCAGCTGTTTGCACTCAGACGAGGGTGGCGAGGAGTTTTTGGGGGTCGCCAGCCCCACCTCCTGCTTTGAGCAGGTCTGTAGCTGGCCCTAGCCCTAATCGGTCACAGCTTTTTCTAGCTGCCTCTCAAAAACCTCTGAGGACGGGGCTCTCCCTACCTCTCCGTGCCGTGGCGGGGTGCACCACCCTCCGGGGGACGAGCTCTGCCGCAGCCCTTGTGCGAGGTGCCCCTCGCTCGGCAGGTCCAAGCGCCGGGTGTTTGCCCAGTGACTCACCGCCCAGCTCACACCGAAACGTTTCGTTGCCCCGTGGCTGTTTCCTCCAGCGGCTGCCAAACCCGGGGCTCAGGTGCCAATGCTCCTGCAAGG